AGCTTCTGTTGCCTGTGCGCCCCCTGCTGGCACTCACAGAACAGGATCGCAGTAAGTGGTTTTTCTATCACACTCCAAAAAAAAAAAATTTTTATTTTTTATGCCAATTGCTTTTATAAAAAAATCTTAGATGTTGATGGACCTTTATTTTATTCATTTATTTATATGTGGTGCTGAGAATCGAACCCAGTGCCTCACACATGCTACACAAGCGCTTTACTACTGAGCCAAAACCCTGGCCTCCAAACTTTTATTCTTGAAATGAATCACTGAGCCTTTCTTTCCTTCTTTCTTTTTAACATGTCTCTGAGTCTGTAGCAGAAGTTTTGACGCAAACATCCAGAATTTGAATTTTTGGGGCAGGGGTTGTGGCTCAGAGGTAGAGCGCTGGCCTAGCACATGCAGGGCCCTGGGCTCGATCCTCAGCACCACATAAAAATAAATAAATAAAGATATTGTGTCCAACTACAACTAAAAAATAAACATTAAAAAAAAAGAATCTGAATTTTGGTAAGAATTTTATTTGGGAGGAAACAAAACAAAAAACAACTAATAACAACCCAAGAACAATACTCTTTGGATTTAAGACTGACCTTTCATGGATCTGCCCAGTAAGAGTTCTGTTGCTCCTTCTTTTTTGGTACTGGGGATTCATGCATGCTGGGGGCTTAAATTTCACCACCTCCAACCCCTGGTGTAAGTTTTATGTCTCTGTACTTTCAAGGTATGTGGAATGTGGTACTTAACTAAGTCTATAACTCAGGTCTTCAGTGAACAGATTCAAGAGCATTGAACTTGCATAATAAAATTACATATTTATCCATAAAACCAAAATGGAAATAGTCTAGTTTCTCAAGTAACAACACAAAGCTTCGTTTTGTTCTTGTTCTGCGAACTGGATTGAACCCTGGGGCACTACCTCTGATCCACATCCCCAGCCCCTTTTACAGGGTCTAAGTTGTTGCAGCTGGACTCAAACTTGTGCTCCTTCTGCCTCAGGCTCCTGAGTAGCTGGGGACACAGATGTATGCCAGCTCGGTTAAAGTTCTGGTTTTAACAAAATTTAAACTTAGTTTTGTACATATATAGTTTGTTCCTAACAGTACAACACAAATAATTAAAGCAGCAAGTTGCCTAGTTTTCTTTTCCCCTTCCCATACTCCCTTGCTGTTAGAAGCCAAGGAGACACACGTCCAAGTCTCTAGACAGGCTTTCTGGGAAGGGGGAAAGGCAATCCTCTGCTGGGGTGCCCCTCTGGCTCTGTTCCCCTGCATCCTGCCAAGACTGGAGTTACAAGAGCCACCTGGCAACTAAGGTTAAGAGCCACATGTAAAGCAAAGTGGAGCAGGAAAATATGAGGAGCTGGGGTCCACTGACATCTTCAAGTGGCTCCATTCTGGGACTAAAGGAAACGGAGATTTGTAAAATCCTCAGAGAATAAGGGAGCTCAGGAATCTGACCCATTACAATCTTACTTATCTGTCAAAATCCCCCTGCCCTCGAAAGTAAGCCCACCAAAAGTAACTGACCAACTCCTCCCATGACCTGGACCTGCTAAACTCTGTAAACTCAGACCCTTATTGTGCCCCTCAGATGCTTGCATCACTGACCCATTGAGGTCTCCCTTTCTTATTCTTTTTGTATTCTCTTTCATTTGCTTTCAGGGACTACTTCCAGATTCAAAAGAGAGGAAAAAACCCCAAGCATGACCACCTGGTTTTTCTGTACTTGTGGGCAAATATAATTCCAACATAGATACTAAAACAACTGCCACTTGAGCCAAATACTCAAAGGTATAACGTGGGTGGCAGTGCAATAACTTTATGCCCAAAAGACTCAACACACTTCCTGAACTATCTAATTTAAAACCTTGGGCTAGGGATGTGGTAGAGTGCTTGTCTTCCATGCATGAGGCCCTGGGTTAGATACTCGGCACACATGCACACACACAAAACACCTTCATATACCAGGAAATACTGGTCCCATGAATTTTTGGAAAAACTCAAATAACTACTCCTGTCAAATAATGAAAATCTTTTAAATGAATAAAACTGGCCAAATATAAAAGTGAATGTCACTAAAGGATAGACAATCTAGACTCCAGAAATAAACCCATGTATTTATGATAATTGATTATTTGAGGAGTGGGGATTGAACCCATGAGTGCTGTACTACTGAGCTGCACCCCCAGCCCTTTTTAATTTTTTTCATGGGGTCTTGCTAAATTGCTCAGATTGGTCTCCTACACTCCTGCCTCAGCCTCTCAAGTAGCTGGGATTATGGGTACGCACCATTGTGCCTGTCTTGGTAATTTCTTCTTCTTTTTTTTTTTTTTGGCACTGGGGATTAAACTCAGGGTGCTTAATGACTGAACCATATTCCCAGCCCACATTTTGGAGAGAGGGTCTTGCTAAGTTGTTTAGGACCTCATTAGTTGCTGAGGCTGGCTTTGAACTTGAGATCCTCTTGCCTCAGGCTCCCAAGTTGGGCGTGCCACCATCACGCCCACCTTGGTAACTGATTTTTGACGTGGAAGCCAAGATAATTCAATAGGGAAATAATAGTCTTTTTGACAAATGGTGCTGGGTCAATTGGATAACCTCATGCAAAAAGATGAATATAGATCCTATCTTACTTCATATACAAAAATTAACTCAAAATGGATCAAAGACCTCAATGTAAGAGTTGAAAGTATAAAATGCTTAGGAGAAAACATAAGGCTAAAAAAACATAAGTTGACACAATCAGCTAAAGAAAAAAATAGACAAATGGGACTTTACCAAAATTATTATTATTTTTTTGTACCAGGGATTGAACTCAGGGGCACTTGAACATTCAGTCACATCCCAAGTCCATTTTATTTAGATACAGGGTCTCACCAAGTTGCTTAGCGCCTTGCTGAGGCTGGCTTTGAACCAGTGATCCTCCTGTCTCAGCCTCCCGAGCCGCGGGGATTACAGGTGTGCACCACTATGCCCAACCAAAATTTATGTGCTTTAAAGGACACATCAAGAAAAAAAAAAAAAAAGACCTCAGTGTTGAGGCAGGAGGATTTCAAGTTTGAGGCCAGCCTCGGCACCTCAAGGAGATGCTGTCTCAAAAAAAAAAGCCAGGAGCGGTGGCCTGGGAGGCTGAGGCAGGAGGATCTCGAGTTCAAAGCCAGCCTCAGCAAAAGCAAGCCATTAAGCAACTCAGTGAGACTCTATCTCTAAATAAAATACAAAATAGGGCTGGGGATATGGCATAGTAGTTAAGTGCCCCTGAGTTCAATCACAGGTATCCCCCCCACCCTCCAAAAAAGTAAAAAACATCCACACAAATTCTGAAAAAATTTTTTACAAATTACATATCTGATAAAGGTCTACTGTTTTGAATATATAAAGAACTCCTAAATTATACAACAAAAAGGCAAGTCAAGTGAAATAGATAAAGGATTTGAATAAAAATTTTTTCAGAGAAGATGCAAGTGACCAGTAGTCACATGAAAAAATTTTCATTATTAGTCATTAAATACAAATCAAAACCACAATGAAGGGGTTGAGGCTGTGGCTCAGCGGTAGAGTGCTTGCCTACCATGTGTGAAGCCCTGGGTTCAATCCCCAGCACCACATAAAAATAAGTAAAATAAAGGCATTGAGTCCAACTAAAAAATAAAAATAAATAAATAAATAAATAAAAACCACAATGAGGGACTGGGGTTGTGGCTCAGTGGTAGAGCACTTGCCTAGCATGTGTGAGGCACTGGGTTCGATTCTCAGAACCACGTATAAATAAATGAATAAAATAAAGGTCTAACAATATCTAAAGACATATAAAAAAAAAAAACAGAGTGAGATTTTATTTCACATCCACTGGGGTAGGAAGGAACAAGTGTCAGTGAGGATGTGGGAAACGCAAAATAGCACAGCTGCTATGGAAAAACGGTCTGGCAGTTCTTAAGAAAGTCAAACATAGTTATGACTCAGCAATTCCACTCCTAGGGTCATAATCAAAGAGAAATTAACATGTCCATATAAAAATTTGTACATGAATGTTTTGGCAGCAGTTATAAATAGCCAAAAAATGGATACAAAGCAACTGTTCACGCACTGATGGATAAACACAATGTGTTCTATCCTCACAATGGAATATTACTGAGCCATAGAAAGGAATGGAATCCTATTATATTCTCAACATGGGTAAACTTTGAAGACATTATGCTAAGTTAAGGCAGGCAGATACAAAAGGATAAATGTTTGATTCCCCTTACATGAGTGTTACCCTCAACAGGTAAATTCAGAGACCAAAAGTAAATTAGAGGTCATGAGAGGCCTAATGGTTATAGTTTCCATTTTATGCAATGAAAGTTTTGAAAATATCCTGTGCTAGTTGTACAACACTGTAGACGTAAGTAGTGACTCTATACATACTGTGTTATATACATCTCTCTCATACACACACACAGAAAGGAAAAAAAAATGAAGCAAAAAGAAGTATTGATACATGTTATAGCACAGGTTAACTTTGAAAACATGCTGTGAAAGAAACCAGACACAAAAGGTCATATATTGGGGCTGGGACTGGGGCTGAGTGGTAAAGCACTCACCTAGCATGTGCGAGGCACTGGGTTCAATCCTTAGCACCACATAAAAATAAATAAATAAAATAAAGGCATCATGTCCAACTAAAAAAAAAAATTAAAAGGCCACATATTGTATGACTCCATTTATATGAAACATTCAGAATAAGCAAATCTAGAGACTAAGTAGATTAATTCTGGTGGAGGGTAGGAAGAGTGGTTGGGCAGAAATGAGGGAGGGTGATGGATAAAAAGTACAGGTACAACTTTTTGGGGTGATGAAATGATCTGGAGTTAGTGGCAATGGGTGCAAAACTTTAGGTATCTACTAAAAGCCTCTAAATTGTATACACTTTAAAAGGGTGAAGAGTATGGAACATGAATTTTATCTCAAAAATTTTTTAATTGAATGTCAAAGATAGGCAATAAAGTTTTTCTGACATGAAACGTTAGAAAGTTCTTTATTATTCATTCTTATTAAGCACCAGCTTAATACTGCATAAAATTTCAAGTTATCCTTCAACAACTCACCCCCAACCCCCAAATTCTTGATCAAGAGCTTTTCAAGTACAGTCATGCTCTTTTCTTGCTTCTGTATAAAACTTTAAGAGATAAAGGCAAAGGGTCGTATACATCTTGCTGTGAAATGCTGCCCAAGGTGCTGGAGACTGGCTGCCCAGGCGCCCTTCATTGTCCAGGTCCTGAAAGACTCTTGTTCATGAACTGTCTCTTCACAAAGCAAGTCCACCACTAACAAGGGAAGACAAGACAGAATGGACACATGACAGTGCAATTTCAAGGTAAGTCAGAATTCAAATTAATTAAATAATAAAATTTAATATTGGTCCAGTATCTCTTACATTATAAATTCCTTAAAGGCACATGTAAACTTTTCTGGTCACTCAAAATATGATGAAGTATATCAATTTGATATCGTGGATTCTGCATCCAAGGATTCAACCAACAACCATGGATAGAAAATATTAGGGGAAAAAAACCTACCTATACTGAACACATTAGACTTTTTCCTTGTCACTTTCCCTAAGCAACAGAGTATATCGGCTACTTATATAACATTTATATTTTATTAGGGATTATAAATAACCCAGAGATGATTTAAAGCATACTGGAGGAGTGCATAGGTTATATGCAAATATCATGCTATTGTATACATAAGGGACCTGAACAGGCACAGATTGTGGTCCCTGAAGGTACTGAGAGGTGACTATATATCCAAGATATCAGACAAATCAAACCTGTTCTGTGGATTCACAATGCCCCAACGTAAGAACACACAACTAAAACTTCCTTATTAGATGCAATTCATTGTTGTGATCTAGTTAACTATTATGTACCAAGTACATACTTCGGCAACACAAAAATTACGTGTTCTTGAAATGGAAGACTTTAGTGTGTTCAGCAGAGGTAAAAGATGATTTACATTGAAACAGGCAAAAAATAGGGTCCTACCTTGCTGGGTTTATCATTCTGAGGGTCAAAAACTTTCTCACAAAGTCTCAGTCCAGTCTCTTGCCTTAGCTGCTGTAGGTAGGCTCGCATGACTTCTAAAAAAGAATTTAAAACTGGGCTGTAATTTTTGTGTGAGTGTGTGCTACTGGGGATTGAACCCACAGCCATGTACACGCTAGGCAAATGCTCTACCACTAAGCTTCAGTCCCAGCCCTCAGAATTTAAAAAAGTATTTGAAAATATGCCCAAATGTACTGGCCACTGGTCTAGATATCAACTCTGGCAATATGTTCTTTTCCTTCCCCCTTTTCTCCTTTCTCCCTCCCCCCTTCCCTCCTTCCTTTCTTTCTGTTACCAGGGACTGAACCCAGGGATGGTTTACCACTGAGCCACATCCCCAGCCCTTTTCTATATCTTATTTAGAGACAGGGTCTCACTAAATTGCTTAGGGCCTCGCCAAGTTACTGAGGCTGGCTTTGAACTCACAATCCTCCTGCCTCAGACTCCCAAGCTGCTGGGACTACAGGTGTGCGCCACTGCGCCCAGCAGCAATATATTTCTATATATTCAATATGAGATAAGAAAAATAAATGACAGTTCAAATGGCTTTGTCCTATATTAATTTTGGCTCAAAAGATTCTCTGTATGTCATATTTGTTAGCAAGAATTTTTTGTGAAAGTTACTTATAAGATAATGTACTTATGCTGAGTGCAGTGGCACATGCCTATAACCCCACTACTTAGGAAGCTGAGGCAGAAGGATTGCAAGTCTGAGGACAGCCTAGGCAACTTAGCAAGACCCTGTGTCAAAATAAAAAAGAGAAAAGGCTGGGGGTGTAGCTCAGTGATAAAGCACTGCTGGGTTCACTTTTAGTACTGTAAAAAATTAAATGAAGAAATAAATAAAAGATGGGCTAGGAGTCAGGCTTGGTGGCACACGCCTGTAATCCCAGTGGCTTGGGAGGTTGAGGCAAGAGGATCTCGAGTTCAAAGCCAGCCTTAGTAAAAGTGAGGTTGTCAAGTAACTCAGTGAGACCCTGTCTCTAAATAAAACACAAAATAGGGCCAGGGATGTGGCTCAGTGGTTGAGTGCCCCCTGAGTTCAATTGCCAGTATCTTTTTTTTTTTTTTAATATTTATTTTTTTAGTTTTAGGTGGACACAATATCTTTATTTTATTTTATGGGTGTTGAGGATCGAACCCAGTGCCTCACACATACCAGGTAGGCACGCTACCACTTGAGCCATATCCCCAGCCGATTTTGCCAGTATCTTAAAAAAAAAAAAAAAAGATGGCCTGGGGTTGTAGCTTAGTGGTAGAGCACTTGCCTAGCACATGTGAGGCACTGGGTTCGATCCTCAGTACCACATAAAAATAAATAAATAAAATAAAGGTAGTGTGTCCATCTGCAACTAAAATAAAAGATAATGTAAGTCCCAATGAGTCCACTCTTAATCTGTATACTGATAAAGGCAAGAGAAGGAGGAAGGTAGAATGTCAGATAGGACAGAGATCCTGTTCTTACCGTCTTCCTGTTTGTTCCCAGGTTTGGCATAAATTGCATTAAGTGGAAAACCAGGCTCTCCAGGAATGGGAAAATTAGTGATTCCCAGGGTATACATTTCTTTCTCACCTTGGCTTTTGGAATTGCACTAAAAACAATAACAAAATCACACACACATTTAAGAAGGAATAGGATAATAATGTCCAAACTATAATTTTTTTAGTTTAAGCAGCTAAGGGAGGGGCATAATGTTTTTTGTGTCTTTTGTAGTCTGGTAAATCCTGTGGGCCCCTTCTCAGAGAAATGTTTCAAATGAACAAAACAAAGTAACATAATTAACATAAGAGAAACCAATTATTATTATTATTATTATTATTATTATTATTATTAATTTGGTACCAAAGATGGAACCCAGAGGCATTTAACCACTGAATCACATCTCCAGCCCTTTTTATTTTTTATTTTGAGACAGGATCTAAGTTGCTTAGTGCCTCACTAAACTGCTGAGGCTGGCCTTGAACTTGTAATCCTCCTGCCTCAGCCTCCCCAGCTGCTAGGATTACAGGCTTGTGCCACTATGCCCAGCTTCAAGAGAAAACAATTATAATGAAACACAATAAAATATCTAAAATCACTTTTTTTTTTTAATTTTTGGTACCAGAGACTGAACTCAGGGGTACTCGACCACTAAGCCACATCCCCATTCCTATTTAGTGTTTCATTTAGAGACAGGTTCTCACTGGGTTGCTTAGCGCCTCGCCATTGCTGAAGCTGGCTTTGAACTCGCAATTCTCCTGTCTCAGCCTCCCCAGCCGCTAGGATTATAGATGTGAGCCACTGTGCCTGGCTAAAATCACACATATTTAAAAAGTGCACAAAACAGTAAGATCTAATAGCTAAGATGAGTGAGATAAACTTTGAAATATCTTCAACACCAATATAATATGAAAATATCATGAATTCTATAGAAGAAAAAGTAATAGGCATTGCTAATACTACTGTGGATAGCCTATGTTAATAACTAAAATAAATGCTAAATTTTAGTTATAGGAAAGAAAAATGAAATTTTTGCCACTTAACCTCACAGACCTTTGTATTCTATCCTTGGACTCCAGGGTCAAGAACTCCTGAGCCAAGCGAAATTCTTTGTCAAGATTTTTGTCTTCCACGTGCAAAGCCTTTTGAAATCACCACTATCTTTTTTTTTTTTTTGGGGGGGGGGTATGTTAGTCAACCACATTATGAATTCAAAGAACTACATTCAGATTTTCCTCTTAAGTAAATGCTCTAAGTCAGAGGAAATATGATTATCCAAGTTTAATTACCTTTTGGAGTTTCTTTAGACACTCAGAAATGTAGAGGGTGATATATATCAAGGTCCTATCAGCTTCATTCTATGGGGGGAAAACAAAATCTTCATTAAAACAACAAAAAAAAACATAACAACCACGTATATACAGCCTTTGCCTTTTGATTATCTACTGAAAATCCTGACGATATAGTTACCATAGCATCAAAAAGTGTCATTTTCCAAATACATGCATGGTCTTTCAAGCTCCCTTGGGCAGGAGCCACTGGCTTCCATCCTGAGCTGTGGGGCTACCCTTGTTTTTCTCAGCTGCTACGGCTGACGGCCTAGGTTCCTGAGGAGCTGTGCCAACAGCCCCTCACTCTGCGTAGGAAGGAGGATTAACAAAGCTGCCTAGAAAACCTGAGGCACACCATATGGTTGGCTAATTGTTTAAAAGCCTTTCACTTGAGGATTTCTGCCGAGGACAGAAACACTCATTACTCAAAAGAAGGAAGCAATTATTTCACATCTGACATGTTCTTGAAGAACTCCAGAAGCCTAACATCTTGACCTAACCGAGAAGAAAATGTGAAGACAACAGCTATTGATCAAATGTGGCATGTACTGTAGGCCCAACTTCACAAAGATTTATTAAAACAACAACAAGACTAAAGCTATATATTTCCCTTTTTTTAAGACCGTATATTTGATGATGAAAATGCGAAATGTGGCAGAGTTACAATATTTATTCATACCTCGTAAAAATACAATACTTAGTCGTACATTAGATATAGAAAATACATCGTCAATATCACAGCATGTTCAGACAATTTGTATGTAGATCAAGAGCCCATAAAAGATTCCATATCCTGTTTGATTCCAAAAGTAAAAGTTTGGCAAGAGGTTAAAGTTACATATTTTAGGACACTACCAGGAAAATTCTTCACCATTTTTTGTAACTTGCTCAGGAACTGCCCCCACCTCTGACTCTCGCCCCTGTATTGGGGATTAAACCCAGGGCCCCCTACCACTGAGCTACATCCTAGCCTTTTCTATTTCATTTTTGAGACAGGGTCTCTCTAAGTTGCCCAGGCTGGCCTCAAATCTGTACTCCTCCTGCCTCAGCCACCTGAGTGTCTGGGATTACCATGTACCATCAAGCCCAGCTATAAAATTTTTTAAAATTTCCCCTCTTCTTTTCTTCTACTCCTCTCTACCTTTTTCTTGACCATCCTCTTCATGGGAACTGAGAGCAGAAAAGGAGAGAAGAGGGGTCAGGAAAGTAGGCAAGGGTTATTCAAGTTTCTTTACTTCTCAATATCAAGTCTATGACACAAAAACCCAAGTTAAGCGTCCTTTATCAAAAATGTTTGGGCCCAGAAAAGTGTTTCATATTCTGGAGTGTTTGGAATTTTGTAATATTTGCAGACTTTACCAGTTGAGCATTCCTAATCTAAAAACCCCAAATCTGAAATGCTCAACCTGTATATAAAAAAATAATAGGCTGTAATAACTTGTAATCTCAAGTGACTCAGGAGGCCAGAAACTTAGTGAGGCCCTAAGCAACTTAATAAGACCCTGTCTCAAAATTAAAAAAAAAATTAAAAACAGAGCTGGGGATGTAGCTCAATGGCAAAGCATCCCTGTGTTCAATCCCCAGTACCAAAAAAAAAAAAAAAAAGCATTTAAGCATTTAAGGCCTTTTGATTGTGGATGGGTCCTACACAAATATAGGGCTGGCACATAACAGATCCTTAATTAATGATGAATAAAAAAGATAAGTCCAGACCAGGGGTTGGCAAGTCTTTTCTGAAAAGGTCAGATAGTAAACATTTTTTGCATTTTGGCCTATGCAGATTTTGTCATAACTACTCAACTGCTATTGTAGTAGGAAAATAACCACAGACTATATACATACAAATGTACATTGCTGTGTCCAATTAAATTTTATTTACCAAAAGAAGTTGTGTGTCACATTTGGCCCTAAGGTTATGGTTTGCCAACACCTGATACACACTTTGGGGAAAAAAAATGAAACTAATATTTATACATAGTCTACCATTAGGCACCATTCTGTAATTTTAAAATCACAATCTCATTTTATTTTATTTATTCCTCACAGCAATCCTAACTGCAAGGTAGATAATATCCCCATCAAAAAAGTAGGTTAAACTACAAGCACTGTAATTTACCTTAATTTCATAGTTCTTGAAGAAGACATTGGCCTTGAAGTAATAGATGGCTTCATCCACAATATCTGTGTCTTTTGCTAATCAGGAAGGGAGGAAGGCAGAGAATATCAGCAGCCAAGTGCAAACCATAACACCTATAAAAAGCTATAAAGAAACCCCCACCAAACTTAAGTCCCAAATGTCCTGAAGTTGAACAAAATAAAATGAGGTTACTGAAATTGTCTTAAAAAACTTGTTCTAGAAAAACAAGTACATAACTTTTTTGGGGGTCATTTTTGTAAAACTTATATACACTCATTAGAAAAAGAATTCAATTAAGGGGCTGGGACTGTGGCTCAGCGGTAGACCACTTGCCTAACAAATGTGGGGCCCTGGGTTCAATCCTCAGTACCACATATAAATAATGATGTCCAATTACAATTAAACAAGTATTTAAAAAATAATTCAATTAATACAAAAATATATTTTTAATTATCACCCCAAATCCCCGCTACATAGAAACAACTACTATTAACATTTAGTGAACATCATTCAAAGCCTCTCTCAATGCATTTATAAAAAAGACTGAGATATAGGTTAACTTTAACAAAGTGTTTTTTTTTTTTAAATAAAGGGTATTCAATATAATTTTTACATAGTGTAGTTTCAGAGGAAAAAACACTCGATTATTTCAAATTTGTTGGGATTCAGACATATATCCTTCTTTTTATAAAAACTATGACTTGGGGCTGGGGATGTGGCTCAAGCGCTAGCGCGCTTGCCTGGCATTCGTGCAGCCCAGGTTCAATCCTCAGCACCACATATAAACAAAGATGTTGTGTCCGCCGAAAACTAAAAAATAAATATTAAAAAAAAATTCTCTCTCTCTCTTAAATAAGATAAAATAAAAAAATAAAAATAAAAACTATGACTTAGCTGGGCATGGTAGTGCATGCCTATAACCCCAGCTACTCAGGAAGCTAAGGCAGAAGGATCACAATTGTGTTCAAGGCCCACCCTCAGCAATTTAGGGATACCCAGTTCCAAATTAAGAAATAAAATTTAAAAAGGTGTGGGAATGTAGCTCAGTGGTAAAGCCCCTGGGTTTAGTCCCCAGGACGGCAAAAGAAAAAAAAAAAAAAAACCAAAATGATGACTTAAATGTACTTGGGGGCTAGGAGTTTTCAGTGGTAGAGCTCTTGCCTGGCATGCACAAGGCCCTGGGTTCAATCACTAGCCCTGGGGCGGAGAAAAAGCTGTTGGACAAGGCTACAGATTGAAAAAAGACAGAAATACTGCTGTGACAGAGACAGATGTCATTACACAATTTCTCTGGCAGTTTTTGGTTCTCCTTTTTTTTTTTTTTTTTTTTTTTTAATTTTAAAAAGGTCAAAATACCAGGGTCTTGATATCCAGCAGCTGGTTTCAGTAATGCCAAGACACTTATTTATACTTCTTGTCCATGATTGTTATCCCTCATAAACAGAAATGCAAAGTAACCTCAAAGCTTTAATTCTCTATAATTCAGCTGTCTTTATCCCCGTTTATTCCTCTGTTGAAAACTTTCAATGGAATTCTAACTCTAGACTTATATTCCCTGCAATCTATCAGCTAGTTCTTCTAAACACAATGATAGGAGGTGGTGGAAGTGAAAATGATTCAGAATCTAGAAGAGTGCTTGGCATATAAAAGGCACTCCAAAGCTATCTGCTGAATATAAAGGAATCTGTGTGTATGTGGGATGCTAGGGATTGAATCCAGGGCCTTGCATATGCTAAATACATGCTCTAACACTGGGATAGGACCCCAGCCTCACAATTAATTAATGCTAAATTACTTAGCTCACAACACAGGCTTTCACTCTAATTTAGTATTAATCTAGTCCTTTTAGGAAGAGAAACAAGGTCACCCCTCAATTTATCTGGTTACTTAGGGTCTCAATCTCCCTTGAGGGCCCAAGAATTGCAAAGGTGGTAGATTTATTCCATCCTTGTTCTATTGTACCTTCCGATATACTATATGGTATTTGTAACCATGTAGAAAGTGTTCTTCTCAAGACATCTGGGCCAACATTGATTCTTTGCTTTCTTTGGAGTGTAAATTTTTTTTTTATATTATTAGTCTTCTTCTTGTGTATTTTTCCATCTGTTCTTTTTTTTCTCAGACTCAAACAAAAACCATGGTGACTCACCAAATTTATTAAGTTTACTTAGCTTTCAACTGGTGTTGAAAACAGAATTAAATTAAGAGGCGGTCAAGTCAAATAGTCTGGCAGAGGAATGGAGATGGGATCAGTACAAAACTTGTAGTTATAACTATGGTCTTAGAAACCATGAGTGGAACTCAATCCAGACCCTTGCTGGGTGTAGGGAAACCATGTCTAACATAATTCAAATTATATTGTTGGCAGAACATCTCAGAATGTGTCAGAAGAATCTGTGTCTGAAAACAGAATAAGGCTTTTTTTTTTAAATATTTTTTTTTTTTTAGTTGTAGATGAGCACAATACCTTTATTTATTTATTTATTTGTGGGTGCTAAGGATTGAATCCAATACCTCACATGTGCTAGTCAGGTGCTCCACCACTGAGCTATAACCCCAGCCCTAGAATGAGGCTTTCTGAACAGCAGAAATGTTTCAAAAAGCAGAGTGACGTGGGATGGGGAATGTAGTTCAGTGGGTGAGTTTATGCTTAGCATGCACAAAGCACTGGGTTCAATTCCCAGTACCCAAAAATAACTTAAAAAACCAAACAGCTACCAAAGAAAGAAAATTTTTTTTTAAAAAAAAGAGGGCTTGTGGCTCAGTGGAAAAGCATTTGCCTTGCAAGTGTGAGGTACTGGGTTCCATCCTAGTACCACATAAAAACAAATAGAGACACTAAGTCCATACACAACTAAAAATAATATTAAAACAAACAAACAAAAAAGAGTAGATACAATGGGCTGTGGCTCAGTGGTAAAGCGCTCGCCTGGCACGCATGAGGCACTGGGATCAATCTTCAGCACCACATAAAAATAAAGATATTGTGTCCGAAAAAAATAAAAAAGATATTGTGTCCGAATACAACTGAAAAAATACACTTAAAAAAAAAAAAAAAAGAATAGGGGCTGGGGCTGTGGCTCAGTGGTAGAGCACTTACCTAGAATGTGTGGGGCGCTAGGTGCAGTCCTCAGCACCACATAAAAATAAATAAATAAAGATATTGTGTCCAACTACAACTAAAATAAATAACTAAATAAAAAAGAGTAGACACAGTAATGTTATGGAGCATATTTAAGATTTTAGAGTAAAGGGCTGGGGATGTGGCTCAAGTGGTAGCGCACTCGCCTGGCATGCGTGCGGCCCAGGTTCAATCCTCAGCACCACATACAAACAAAGATGTTATGTCTGCCGAAAACTAAAAAATAAACATTAAAAAAAAAAGATTTTCGAGTAGCAAGCAGATCAGGGGAGGGAGGAGAAGAAGGAAAGGGAATGTATTGGAAAATGTGATTAATCACTTATGTGCATGTACAAATATGGCATAATGAATTCCACTACTATGTATAATTACAATGCACCAATTGAAAAAAAGTAAAAAAAGATATAAGAATGAGGTAGTGTTAAAAATGAAGATCCTGAAGAATGAACAAAGGAACAATATTTAGATGGGGAAGAGGTTAAAATACTTTTTGTTGTTTGTTTTTCCCACTGTGATGACAGAGAAAGGATGGGGACATGGCGTTCAACACAGATAGCAGCATTAGATTAGTTTAAAAGGCTGATAGTGAGCCAGGTGCAGTGGCACATGGCTGTAATCCCAGAGGCTCGAAAGGCTGAGGCAGGAGGATAGTGAGTTCAAAGCCAGCCTCAGCAATAGTGAGGCACTAAGCAATTCAGAAAGACCCTGTCTCTAAATAAAATACAAAATAGGGTTGGGGATGTGGCTCAGTGGTTGAGTGTTCTTGAATTCAATCCCCAGTTACCCCCACCTCCTTACCCAAATAAAAAGACTGACAGTGATTGCAGGAACAGTTCCCAAAATTAAGCACATTTTCTCTCAACAAAATATTCCAGAGAAATTAGAATAACATAGTTTCCTATTAAATGCAACATACAACCTCAGTCTTGAAAAATATAACACCCACCAAGCAAACAGAAGGAAGAGAACAATCTGAGGTAGGACTAGGTTCTGAATTTCCCAGATTTAATGTCAGAAGTATAGGCATTTCATAGCAAAATTTGAAAATAATGGTTTAGACTTACTCTCTCTAGGGGCAGGTCCTTTGAACTGACTTCTGATAGGCAACAGGGCCATGTTTCCAATGAGTTTGGTGTCGGGGTCCATGAGGGAAGAGTGGTAAGCCTGTAGTGGCAAGCCAGGTAAGAAAACAGAAACAGAAAGATAGCAAAGTCACTGGGATGACAAATACATTCTTCCAAAGGAAAAGAAGAAGGGATGGCAGCAGCAATGTGCTGGAGCTGGCTCTTACTGACTGAAAACCAATTGTTAAATTCTGAGGAATTACGCAAGTAGTTATTAAACACAGTCAAAAATTAAATTTGTAAATTTATAATTAATTATATTTTAAAAACAAAAACAATAAGTATTCAACCACTTCCCAATTTTAAAAAATTACATTTTACTATTGTCTATGTTCTCAGGGTTTTTTAGGCCTTTTCTATCTTTGTAGTAGAAATACTGTATGATAGGATGCTACTGAGTATGTCTTCCAATTTTGTATTCAGTGACATCACAGTGATAACTGCTGGAAATATTTTCATTAGAGAAAGAGGCAAATAGAATATATCAGGGTACCCACCCTCCAGTTAAACCAGAACCCAGTACCACCTTTTCAGTTTTGCTACTTCGTGGCTTTATGACTTCAATAAAAACATCACTTTTCTTCCCTTAGCCTGTTTCCAAATTTATAAAATGTGTATGATGAGTGATATGCACCACCTTTAGTGGGGAGGTGTGAGTTAAAGGAGAGGGAAAAAGAGTACCTGTGAGAGCAATTTGAATGCTGACTCCTACTTCTGCTTTTTAAAGATGTCTGGCTTTTTAAAAGAGAACATACACATTCATAGATTCATTAATTCACCAAATGATTACTAAGCATCTTCTATGTGCAAGGGACAGTGATACAGTTGATATAAGACCAGTGTGGTACTCGTTCTTAAAGAACTTTCAGGCTAATGGAGAAAGCAGATACAAAATAAATAACACAGAGAAATCCAGGATGCTTTATGCATAACTGGAATGAGCCCAGAGCTTTACAGTTCTGGCTTAAACTCTTGCTTTACCACTAGTGTGAAAGTTATTTAATTTCTGTGGACCTCAGTCTCCTCTTCTGCAAAATAAACAATAATGGTATCTACTTCATAAGGTCACTTTGATATTTATTATTTAAAAATTTTTATTGGTGTATTATAATTACACATAATAGAAGGGAGTCATTATGACATATTCATACAGGCACATAACATAATTTAGTCTATTTCATTCCCCAGTATTTCCTCTTTCCCCTTCTCTCCTCCCTTCCCCTTAACTTTGCGTCTGGCTTATTTTGCTTAATATAATGCTTTCAAGTTCCATCCATTTTCCTGCAAATTATATAACTTTTGTTCTTCTTTTTAAAAAATATTTATTTTTAGTTGTAGTTGGTCACAATACCTTTATTTTATTCATTTATTTTTATGTGGTGCTGAGGATGGAATCCAGCACCTTGCACGTGCTAGGCAAGTGCTCTACCACTGAGCCACAACCCCAGCCCCAACTTTGTTCTTCTTTATGACTAAATAAAACTCCATCGTGTTCAATTAAGAATTAAACAGAAACCCAATTACTATATATAACCGCTAAGTAATAATAATAATCATAGTAATAGAGCAAAAAGAATACTTTATGAAGTGTGTAGCTCTGGTCCGGGAGTCAAATGATAATTATGGAATTTGTGAAATACATAGCTGTAAGTATGGCCTGCTCCTTTTCATCACAGGTATGCTTTACATAAAGCAAGCCCTCCCGTCCCATTCACCAGTAACTGTCTTGTTATCCACCTATTTCTTCCATTGCATCTGTCACTATCTGAAACTCCGCTATTTGTCTACATTTTTTTTATTGTCTGTCTCCCTATCAGACTATCAACTCCTTAAAAGTGGAGATTTGTTGGCCTCACTCACTGCTGTAGAAGTGTTCAGCCTACAGCATTGCTCAGCAGATGCATTTGTTGTAATGCATGTCACTGAATCACCTTTTTCCTAATCTGCAAAACTGAAACCACAATGGCGACAAATCCCTCAGACCCTCAGGACAACGGGGCCATCATCAATTTTCACTCCTATCCTCATGCACACGAAAAAAGAAACACCTGGAAACCAAAGCCGACCCCGAGGCGAAGGATTTCTCAACCCAGCTGGATTGGAGTTGGCCGCCACGCGGGGGCGATAGGGTAGTCCGGGAAGTGGGGTCTGACAGATGACAAGCAGCAGGCGGGACCCGCCCCCTAAGGCGGAGGAGGAACTGGCGCTGGCAGAAAAAAGAAGCTGGACTCTGGGCTTGAAAAATGAAAAATAAAAAGCGTAGTCTTTTTATTCGCGGCCGCAGTGAGTCTTCCGGACCCAGCTGGCCTCAGGGGGAGCAGAGGGGCGAGGGAAGGGGCAGGGACTGGAGAGAAGGGGCCGGGAAGGGTGCAGGCGGCCTCCTCCCTCGCCCGGCCGCCAGGCCACACTGCCGCGCCCCGCGCCCTCCCACGCCAACACCCCCGGCCGCCCCAACACTAAAGAGACTGGTCCCATTCCTCGCCTCTCCCCTTCTCAGGCTCCCGCTTTTCTCAGCACGCGCACGACTTCCCGTCGCTTTCCCCAACACCCACTGTGTCCCCACAACTCGGGATCGAACCCTTACCGGCATCTTGGCGGCGCCGGGGTTTGGACTCAGAGGAGCAAGATCTAGTTAAAGCGCGGCGCTTCCGGTCTGGGGACCAGGGCGGAGTAGGCGGAAGTGAGCCGGAAGCGGAGGGCAAGAGGAGGACGTGACGTTTCCGGCCTTGCCCTCCCGCCGCCGACTGCTGCGGCTGCAGGGATCAGAAGGTGCGTCAGGGGGCGTCGGAGCTCTGGGCAGGGGCTCTGAGTACCGCGCATGTGTAAAGCGCGTGCCGACCAGGGAGGTGTTTGAGGCTTACGGTATCCCTGGGACTAATCACCTTTGTTTTTCCTTAAAGCTCACCTTTTCAGTGAAGAATTAATTCCCTAATCACACTTTCAAATTCAACCCCACTCCAACCCCCTGCTTTAAGTGAGAAAACCTTTTCCCCTCAGTTTTATGATTCTGCGTTTCCTTTTGATGTCGTCTGTTGCCCCACCCTTGTAAATGTTAAAAAGGCAGGGCTCTTGTCTGCTTTGTTCACTGGTATCCCCCGCGCCGGTGACAGTCACTGTACATTGTAAGCATCGGTGAATATTTGTTGAGTGAATGAACTCCACCGACTGCCTTCAAAAAAGGGAAGTTGGGGAGGGAAAGAGGAAGAGCTTGGCGACTGAAATGAAGCAAGCTAAATTATATCAGAACAAATCCCCACTATTATGTGTTAAGTATAATGCACTAATAAAAACTTTCTTTTCTTCTTCTTTTTCTTTCTTTTTTTTGGTACCAAGGATTGAACCCAGGGGCGCTTAACCCCTGAGCCACATCCCCATCCCGTTTTTATATTTTATTTAGAGACAGAGTCTCCATAAGTTGCTTAGGGCCTCGCTAGATTGCTGAGGCTGGCTTTGAACTCAGGATCCTCTTGCTTCAGCCTCCCAAGCCACTGGGAATACAGGTGTGCACCATCGCGCCTGGCTTAATAAAAACATTTTTAAAATAGGGAAATTGAAGAGCATAGCGAAGAAGGGATTTGTGTATAGTTTCTGCCATTCTTTGTGTGATGGTTGAGAAGTGGACACTGGTTTTAAAGTCCCAGTTCCAACATGTACTAGCTAATTCTGGGCAAGTTGATTCACCTCTCTGTGCCTTTGTTCTTCATTTGAAAATGGAGACAGTATTTCTCATTGTTTTGTGAGAATGAAATAACCTGAAAAATGCTTAGAATTTACATGCCTGGAGCATAGTGAAAACTCATTACTAGAAAGCACTTGTGAAAAGCAAAATTCATTGCTGTCTGGGAACCATTTTTTCTACCAGCCCCTAAGATTGAAATATTCTGTCTCTTATTCCCACATCTGATTTCTCATTTGGGTCTCTAGCCAAATAGTATTTTTAGAAGTGTCCTATTAATCACTCATTTGTTACTTTCTCCACTCTCCCATCCCTTAGCAGTTTTCCTTTTTTCAGGTACAGTCTTGCTGGCCAGCACGGCAGACCCATTCAAGTTAGGCCTTGTCTGCCCTCAGCATTGCCATTTTATTCAGTGTCAGGCACCCACAGAACCTCATTAAATTTATGCAGAGTCATATTATGCTCCCCTGAGACAGTAAAATCCCTGAGGCCTGGAAAATCAGATTCTTTCAACCCCAATATTCAGAGAGGAACACAACAGAATTTAGCCTCTCATTTTCTTCCCCATGGATATATTAGAATCTCCAGAAGCTAAACCAGGGAGGTATAGCAAGAAGAGGGCAAATAAAAGGTTCTTTCTTCCCCTCCCAAGGGGCAAAATTTCTAAGAATTAGTAGCCCCGAGAGATAAGAGTGTTTTCACCTTTCCACACTCCAGGGGCTACAGCAAAGTCCCCAAGCATACCCCATGTTGCCCATTCATCTGGCATACCCCATGTTGCCCATTCATCATGTTCTTCACAAATAGGTCTTTTTTTTTAACTGGGGATCGAACCCAAGGCTTTCTGCATGTGAGGTGAGTGCTTTACCACTAAGCTACATACATCCCAGTCCTCAAATTCATCTTTTGAAAATAACTCACATGGTCAGTCTATGATTCAGACACCTGACTCCCTAGCTGGCCGCCAAGAGCAAACTAACACTGATACCTATGTCTTCTCATTTTGGTTCTTTAATTAAAATGGATCAAATTTGACACTGCAGGTATACTTTTGCTATCCAGAACAAAGAATAATAAAAATATAACCTGAGTTGCAAGTCTTAATTTGAATTAGCTGGCAGATCAGTTGCCAAATGACTAATGGAACGCTGGGCCTGTTGTTGATGAAATGAAAAGAGATCCTGGCCTATACTAGGTGCTAAAGAAATATCTATTGGCCGATTTGCCATTCCCAGAGCCTGCACTCACACCTAATACAAATTAACTTAGAAATACTGAAAAAAAGGCTGGGGATGTAGCTCAGTTGGTAGAGTGCTAGCCTTGCATGCACTAAGGCCTTGGGTTCAATCCCCAGCACCACCAAAAAAAAAAAAAAACTGAAAACAAATGAATGTGCCAAGAAGTTATGTCGTCTGCACTATGGTGAATGCTTATTACTCAAGGAATGTATAAACTTTGAAGTGCTCAAAAACTATAAATTTCTAAAAACAATCCCTGCCTTCATTGACACTTGGGAAAATTCACTCATTTAAAAATTTGCTTGGCTGTGAATTTCAAGTTCCACCTGGAAAACAAGAGTGTAATGAAAGGTTAGTGCTACCTTTCTGTTTCTTTCCTACATACACATATATGCCTCAAAACACAGATACTTTTAAGTGAAAAAATCTTATTAAACGAAATATATATCCAAGAATTAATTAAGCTGAAACTGGGAATTTAGCAACATATATGATTAGTGAAAGATTAGCATTTAGACTATATGTTGTTTCTGAACATAAGAATGAACACATAGTTAAGGAAAACATGACTCGTGACACACATGGAAAGCTGTAAAACTAAGCAGTGAGCAGGAATTTAAAATTAAGAGTACAATAAAATACAACTTAACAAACAGTAGATAGCTCAAAACTAAGAAGTTCAAAAACATAAGATAATGTTGATGATGTAGAAATTATTCCCACTATTAAATTCTAAATGGTACAATATTTTTAAAAAAATATTTTTTAGTTATACATGAACACAATATCTTTGTTTATTTTTTGTTTTTTTAATGTGTGCTGAGGATCAAACCCAGTGCCTCACACATGCCAGGCAAGTGCTCTACCACTGAGCCCCTAAATGGTACAATATTTTGAGAAGCTGTTTGGCATTATATAAAGTTGAAGTCAATGATGAAGTTTATTCTCATGGCTGTCCCTTGGAGAAACTCATGTATATATGATACAGGAAATATATTTATTGCAGAATTGTTTTCAAATCAAAACAGCTTGAAATAAAAGTATCAAAAATTATGATCTACTAACATAACAACATATTAAAAGCAGTGAAGTGAAAGAGCTCCAAGTACATACCACATTTAATTTTTAATTATACAAATAACACATATTCAATGTAGGAAAATAAGAACATACAGATAATCAATGGCATTATCTATACCCTATAACCTTGTGGATTTTTCCTTTGGATATACAAATGTATATTTTGTTACAGTAATTCATGCCCCTGAAGAACACGCCCCCCCCTTAACAAAAATCCAAGCAAAAAATAAAGTTAGAATGTCCTTAATTATATATATCCCAGGTGCAAATGTATATTATGTACAAATCTATGTGCATTCACTTCCCCCCCCCCTTTATTTTTTGAGTGCTGGGGTTTGAACCCAAGGCTTTGTGCATGCTAGGCAAATACTCCTCCACCGTGCTACATCCCCAACCCTCTTTACAATTCTGACATTTAAAATCTCAGCTGATGCTGGGTGTGGTGGCACATGCCTGTAATCCCAATAACTCATGAGGCGATGACAGGAAGATTGCAAGTTTGAGTCCAGCTACAAGGCCAATCTCAGCAACTTAGTGAGAACTTGTCCCCCTCAAAATAAAAAGGGGTGGAGATGTAGCTCAGTAGCCAAGTGCCCCTGGGTTTAATATCCATTAACAACAAAAACAAAAAACAACAAAAAAACCCCAAACAACAACAACAAAAACTCAACTGATGCTGTTAGAATACCACTAAAAGATTCCTTTTTTTTTTTTTGCAGTGATGGGGCTCACACTCAGGGCTTTGCTCATGTTACCACTAAGCTTCACTCCAGCCCTGAAAAGACTGGCCTTGAACTTTCCATCCTCCCATCTCAGCCTTCCCAGCTATTGGGGTTAAAGGGTGTGTACCACTGTGTCTGGCAAGATTTCACTTTTAACTCAGGACTTGACTCAGGCATGCTCCTGATAAAGGGCCAAGTATTCTTTTTTTTTTCCTTCATTAAAAAAAGCAGCTGTCTACTACTGCATCCTTTGAAGATTTGCATTCTCTGCTGATTTGGCCACAAGCTCTTCACATACAGTTACTTTTTAGTAAATTCTTCATTCATTTTGGCGTTCTTGAAAATATTCATCAAACAAAGAGGAAGACTCATCTTCATGTTCCTGACACAAAGGAAAAACAAAATAGAAAATACATTCATTTATTTCCCCTCACATGTGTTTACATATTATTCAGGTAATGCTCAATATGGAACTAAGAACCAGGAAGGACCAGCTCCAGGTGTTGCTCATAGGTAATCATCAATGGTTAAGAAAAGGCATAATTGATAGAATTTTCCCAGATATGTGGTAAGCTGATGTGCTTATATCTCATCAGAAGCATTTCTCACTTAAATTTATATTCACAATGATTCTCAGCTAATTTGCTGACGACTGCTGACGACTGTTCTGCTGACGACTATCATTAGTCTCTTCACTGATGTGTGAGAGCAGCCCAAGTTCAAATGGATTTCATCTCCTCTTTGTACATACCCCCAAGCTCTGAGTTCAAAGACTTAATTCAATAACAATGCCTCAATAAAAGGCAGAATAAGGGCTGGGGTTGTGGCTCAGTGGTAAAGCACCTGCCTAGCATGTGTGAGGTACTGGGTTCAATCCTCAGCACCACATAAAAATAAAAAAAGATTTAAAAAATTAAAAAAAAGGGAGAATAAAATTGACATCACTTGCTGAGCACAGATGTCAATTTTGGAGATTATCCAGAAAAGCTCAGGCATCTGCTACCACTAAGACAAAACCCTAAGGAGTTGCCTGGGTTATGTAAGGGGTCAATGAGTGCTGGCAAATATTTTCACCAAAAAAAAAAAAAAAAAAATCAGAAATTACCTTGGGTTCTTTAAATTCTAAGTCTTCTCCATACTGAATGGCAAAATCAATATGCTGTAATACAATGTTCATGCTTTCTTCATCTGACTGATCGTAAGGTAAAAATCGAACCATGCTGTAGTCATCAATCTACAAATAGGAGATTTCAAAAAAGGTTCATTCTGAAGTTGGGCAAAATATGTAACTTTCAACTTAGATATGAGTTTTTATAACTATTTGTACTTCTGATTAAAAATATTTATATTTCAGATATAGAGGAGGGACAGCCAGAGACAAGAGTAACAAATTGTTACTGGTTCTCCTGAGCTCTGACCAGCGAGCACACATACTGGCTCATCACTTCATTGCATACTGTTTCAGGGGATTTATCTGAATTCAACACCCGCTGAAATGTCAAAAAGAAAACAAAGAGTTCTCAACTGCCAAATGGCTTGAAATAGTAGGCATATTTTGTTAATTTATTGACCACTGATAGTAACTATTTCTAAATTAAACTGCTGACAGGCCTGCCCATACTCCCTCCCACCCTTCTTCTCTATGCAGGAAGTAGTGTCGGTCTGTGCTTCCCAGAAAGGAGGTCACTGACTAGATGTGGGCAAACACATGGAAAGGTGGAAGAAACCCAAAGCCCTACACTTCAAAAGCTTACCAGTCCACAAATTGCTTTCGTCAACTTTTTGAATTTTTTGCTTCTAAAATCACTTGTCGAATCTTTTAAGAAGGAGTACATGTCTGGGTCTAGAAACCTTTAAAAGGTGAGGAAGAAGTCTGATGAATAAAAGGAAGAATAAATCAGGAAACTAGATTTACAGACTGACAGAACCTCTCATTTCCATAAAACAGAAGGTCTGTCTCTTCAACTGAAATCTGATGGGAACAGAAGAACAATGAACTCACTTCTCAATTTCCTTTTTAGCTTTCTTACTCAGCAGATCCATTTTCGTCATGATGTTAACTTGTGGAATTTCTAGAGATATCATAGCACTCAGGGCTGCCAAGATGCCAGAAATAAACTGGAGGAGGAAACAGAAAAGGGAAGATGAATCAACTGCTCCCAACAAGTCTCCAAATAGACAGGCTTCTACTCCTCCCTTCCAGGGAGAAAACTGGCCCTAGTAAAAGATGTGCTAATATTAAAGAGAAAGACCACTCAATCAGATGATTGAACCTCAGCTCCCAAAGGTGAGGATACTAAGGGAAGATGTGGCTTTAATCTACGGTGATCACATATCTCAATTTAGACAGTATTATCAACCTCCTTACTCATCTAATACTCAAGAGCTATTAATGATAAATAAATCTTGATTTAGTTCATAAACTGAACAAGAGATCCTCAGAAAATTTTAAAAAGGCTATTTTGTTGTTTCTTATTTATTTATTTTTTTGTAGTTGTAAATAGACATCATGCCTTTATTGTATTTGTTTATTTTTATGTGGTGCTGAGGATTGAACCCAGTGCCTCACAAGTGCTAGGCAAGCGCCCTGCCACTGAGTTACAGCCTCAGCCCCTATTTTATTATTTTTAAAAATACATTATTGAGCTGTGGTTGTGGCTCACTGGTAGGGCACTTGCCTAGCATGCATGAGGCACTGGGTTCAATTCTCAGCACGACATATAAATAAACGAATAAAATAAAAGTTCATCAACAACTAAAAAATAGAGTATTAAAAAAAGTACATTATTTCGCTGCTTCTTGGTCTTCTGGCTAAGATCAAGTGTAATTAGTATAGTAGCTTTCTTTTTTAATCAGTTTACTATCTGACACGTTCTCTATCAGATAATACATGAAATGGATTTTTGGAGCAGGGAGATGGAATAGGAGCTTTCTCCATCCACTCCAGGCATCAACACAGTACGTCCAGGAATGGTGCACTCTACCCTATTCTTGCAGTTATTAAAAGCAGGTTGCTGTTGGTTTCTCTTAAAAACAACAACAACAAAAAAAACATTATTTAAAAAAATAACCCATCTTTCTCAATTTTCTTTAATAAACAGTTCCCTAAAATCTCTGAATCATCATTTACTATTTTTGAGTTTAAATATATCAGCATAATAATTTAACAAATATTAAGTGACTCTGAAATAGTCTGTGAAATATCCAGAATCATACAATAATCAAAAGGGATAGTCATCCGTTTACACTCGTGATTGAAAAATTCTCAACAGATTTATCCTCAGACCTTAAATGACTCCACCATGAACTGAGAATCAACAAGAAAAACTCCACACACTCGGAATTCCCACTGCTCCAGTTGCTGGACCAGCTGTTTCATCACAGGCAGGTGAGTGTACAGCTCAATCTGACCTACAGGAAGAACACCATGAGAACAGTACAACCTACAGGAAGAACACCATGAGAACAGTACAATCAGGAATAGGGTAATTCATCACAGAGAGAACATAAATTGTCCCCAAAGATGGGGAAGTCAGTCCTGAGTAACAATACATTCAATTTTTAAGAGGTCTTATAGTCTTTCAGAGTAGTCACAAAACTTAAGATGAATTTTAGCAAATTTCAAACAGACTACCCAGTTTTATGTAGAAAATAAAATTCTTCACACTTTGGTATGTGAGTATGCATGAGGTGGGTACTAGATAGAGATTGAACCCAGTAGCACTCTACCACTAAACCACCCCCCTAGCCCCCTCCCTTTTTTTTTTTTTTTGAACTGGGGACTCAACTCAGGAGCACTCAGCCACTGAGCCACATCCTCAACTCTATTTTGTATTTTATTTAAAGACATGATCTCACTGAGATGCTTGGCACCTCGCTTTTGCTGAAGCTGGCTTTAAACTCAAAATCCTCCTGCCGCAGCCTCCCCAGCCACTGGGATTACAGGCCACAACGCCCAACTCAGCCCTTCTTATTTTGAAATAGGGTCTTATTAAATTGCCTAGGCTGGTCTCAATACTCCTGAGTAGCTGGGATTATAGGCATGCACCACCACACCCAGGCACACTTCAGTTTTTTTGCCAATCAAAAGTGAGTTCAATTCACAGTAGCTGAGCCATGGAACCAACCTAGATGCCCTTCAACAGATGAATGGATAAAGAAAATGTGGTACATATACACAGTGGAATATTACTCAGCCATAAAGAATAATGAAATTGTCCTAGGTTCAATCCTCAGCACCACATATAAATAAACAAAGATACTGTGTCCATCTACAACTAAAAAAATTTAAAAAATAATGAAATTAGGGCATTTGCTAGTAAATGGATGGAACTGGAGACTATTATGCTAAATGCAACAAGCCAATCCCAAAAAAACCAAAGGCCAAATATTCTCTCTGATATGTGGATGCTGACTCACAATAGGTGGGGTGATTCTGGTTACACTGTCTTACGCTCCACTGGACTGTGACTCCATGAGAGCAGAGCCCATGGCTCCCTTGCTGTCTATGACATTCTGGGCATACAAAGCAAGCACTTGATGAACTCGATGAATAATGACAGACAACAAGAGATTGGTAACTTATTTTTTAGTTTTTTTCTTTCTTTTTTTTAGTTGTAGATGGTCACAATATCTTTATTTATTTATTTTAATGGAGTGCTGAGGTTCGAACCCAGTAGCTCACCTGTGGAGGCAAGCGTCTACCACTGAGCTACAGCCCCAGCCCGAGCTTGGGTACAGTCTGTAGCTACAAATACTATACTATACTATACCTCTGCTGAGGTCACAATTATCACAGCCTCAAGAAAACAACACATTCAAATTGCTGACTTACCTGGGCAATCAAAAAGAATGTAGTCGTCCTCTACATGGCCCAGACAGTTCTCTAGCCAGTCAAAATTATTGGCAAAGTACTCCATGCAAAATACCAATCCTCCATTGGGACCAAACCTTAGAGAATCATCCTCCATCACATCATCCACCTCGATCAGTTCCCGGATGTCTAAAAAGGGCAGACAAGCCCTAAATCTAAGCATCCACTCAAAAATGATTGCCCACCACCATAATAATGATTAATTTTCAAAATCATACATATAAAGTTATTTATGTACATGGTTTTGTACTGCAGCAGTGTCCATCAATAAGGAACTGAGCAAATAAATTAAGGTATAGCTAGACATGGCACAGTGAAATATTATGCAGCTCTTTAAGTACTAATATAATTTCTTAGGTATGTTATTAAGTGAAAAATGCAAGACACAGAACTCTGTGCAAGAATATCATCAATGCTGGGCGCAGTGGCACACGCCTGTAATCCCAGAGACTCGGGAGGCTGCGGTGGTAGGACTGTGACTTTAAAGATAGCCTCAGCAAAAGCGAGGTGCTAAGCAACTCAGTGAGACCCTGTCTCTAAATAAAATACAAAATAGGGCTGGGGATGTGGCTCAGTGTTTGAGTGCTACTGAGTTCAATCCCCAGTACCCCACCCCACCTCAGCCCACCCCGAACAAAAAAAAAAGAATATCATCAAGCTGGGGATGTGCACTTGTCATCCCAGTGACTCAGGAAGCTGAGGAAGAAGAATTGCAAGTAAGGGGAGAGCCTCTGCAACTTAGTGAGACCCTGTCTCAAAAAATAAAAAGGGCTGGGGAATGTAGCTATAGTGATAGAGTGCCCTTTTTTCAATCCTTAATTCTGAAAAAAAAAAAAAAAAAAAGGAAAAAAATACATACATAGACTATTTATGGAAGGGTACAACGGAAACTGAAAATATTGGTTTTCTCCAGGAAGGGGGTTTTGGTTGCTGGGACAGAGCTGGGAGGGAGATATTTTCAAATTTGTATGCTTATTCTTTTGTACCTTTTGTATTTTGAATCATGTAAATATGTTATTACCTACTTCAAAAAAAGTAAAACAAAAAAAACCCAACAGTCTCTTAACATGATGACCCTAGGCAAGCTACCCAACCTCCCTGAGCCTCATTTTCCTTTTGCTGAGATAGGATAGGAATCACACATCCTGGGATAGAAGGATGAGAATTATATGAAATAAATCACCTACAGGAAGGACTTAAAAATTCTGGTATATGTATGTTATCTTAAGTTTCAGAAATCAATATCCATAATTTTCTACCTTAGGTTTTTACTTATTTATGTGCTCAAACCTATAATTTCTGTTCACAGTTCTCTTGAACAGATATTTCATCCACAAGCACAGTTTTTTTTTTGGTACTGGGACTAAATCCAGAGGCACTTGCTTAACCACTGAGCCAGATCCTCAGCCCTTTTATGTATTTTACTAGAGACAAAGTCTCAATGAGTTGCTTAGGACCTCGCTTAATTGCTGATACTGGCTTTGAACTTGCAATCCTCCTGCCTCAGTGTCCTGATCTGCTGGGAATATAGGTGTGTGCCACTGAGTCCAGCTCACAAGCACATTTATAGTGATAACACCTTCCTAACTGCTACTTCAGGAATAAACAGCCAACCTAAGACTGGACAATAAAACTGATCTTCTAGGAAGATAAACTAAGGAGACACTAGTCAGTCAGTAAAACACTTGGACCAGAGAGTGATGTGAACTTGGGGACCTCTTTGGGCAACATGCATCCTGATGCAGAGAAAGCTGGTCCATAAGGAAGAGAAAATATATCAGAAACAGCCAGAAAGCTGGCCTTGGTTGAGTTTTGGGTTCTAACTTGTCATAAAATCTTATTCTTGGGTTTTGTGAGTGGCCCCCTAAGTCTCCTAACACATTTTTTTACTTAAGCTAGCTTGAGAGCTTAACCAAATGATCCCAAAGTAATGCAATGCCTTTTTCTCAAGGAAGAGGATTATCCCACATCCCTTTTCTCTTCAAACTGCCTTCCCCAACTGTACCTGCAGCCACTCTCAAGGATCAAACATGTCATTATGAGAAATAAGAATGAAAAAGAATTTTTCATTTCAGCTACTTTTCACAGCAAAACCTCCTCAATAAGTTTCTCCTCTCAGAGTCTGCACAGGTCACCTGCATTTCACTTGAGACCAGTCCAGTCTGCTTTCATCCCTGCCACTCCACTGAAATAATTTATCGAAGTCACCAAAATGTGTGTTCCCAAATATAACAGCCATTGCTGTGTCCTCACCTTACACAACTTCTCAGCTGTACCTGATACTACCAACCACCTTCTCTTGAAACATTCTCTCCTGGCTGTTATAAAGTCATATTTCCCTCCTGCCTTACTGACATCAACTGCCTCTACTGGACCTCTGAAAAGACAATGTCAAGGCTGAGTGTTGGATCCTTGTCTCCCTCCCAACATGAGCTCATCCAGTCCTGGGCTTTATGAATCCAAATGCTGCTTACCCAAATATCTGTACCTCCAGTGTAAGTGAGAAGTTTTTACTTAAGGTTGACCTCTTTATTTAAGCTAGCTTGAGTTCCTTTTGTTGGCTACAACCTAATAAGCTTTACTGTAGATTTACCATAACAGGTCTAGCCAAGCGGGGACAGAAGGGAAGAAGTAAGAGAGAAGTCCACTCACTTTTAAGTCTTAACTAAGGACCAAAAAAGGCTACCATCACACACATCACCATGAACACATGTTGCTAAATGACAGCCTCATGTTGTTCACTCGAAAGCAGTTTCTGTGCTAAGCAGCCAGCACCCTTACTGTTCCTGAAGGAAGGGAAGGCTGTGCTAGGACTTACCAGCCATCACAGGGTAGTTGAAGTGTTCTGCTGCTGGATCTAGGTTGACCACCTGGACAGACCGGTTGAGGGCTTCACAGTGTTGGACCATGGTGGCACAGTAGGTGCTCTGCAGTGTCACAGGATACAATGGGTTAGAGCAACAGGCAATGCAGCGATACCCTCCACACCCATAAAAGGTTTCTCCAGACTCTCTGGGACAAGATCCACTAAGGTCAAACCTATGCTTTCATCAACCCTGATTATAGCTAGAAACAAAAGAAAAGGCACTGGACTAGGAATCAGGACACCTGTGTGGGCTGCAGATCCAAACCTGGTCTTGATTCTCTGGTAACCCTGGGAAACACTTCACTCTGCCCCTCAATTTTCTCATCTCTAAGATGTTTTCCATGATCACTAAGACTCCTTACTGATCTAACATGCAACAAGTAGAATTTTTATTTTTTGGTAGTGGTGGTGGTGCTGGGGATTGAACCCATGGCCCTGTGCATGCAAGGCAAGCATTCTACCAACTGAGCTATATCTCCAGCCCAACAAGTGGAATTTAAGGGAAGATTTCTGATTACATGGTGCGGCATCTAACACATAGTATCTCTTCTAGGACTCATACAGTCCAAATGAAGCTTTGGGGTAGGATGGTCAAGGATGATGTCTCTGAGTAGGGGATATCTGAGCACAGAGGAATGAGCCTGCCAACCCACGAGAACATTCCAAGAGGAGGGAACATCAAGATTTCAATGGCTCAGAACATGTTAATTAAAGCCTGAAGCCACACAACACCTCCAAGATTCTAGTGTTTTTCCCACTTATGTTATTTGATCGACACCATGTCTACTATATTTTAGTGCCCTTAACATTATTGCTTAAATCTGTTTACAAGGAAAAATTGTGCTATTATTATAAATGGAAACCAATTATATTTATCATAAGGATGAAGGTATAAAATTACATACAACTTTTCTTCTGCCCCCCACAGTACTAGGGATTGACCCCAGAGCCTTGCACATGCTAGGCAAACAACCATTGGGCTACAGCCCCATCCCTTTTTATTTACTGAGACGGATTCTTACTGCTACAGGTTGGCCTGAAACCTCTAATCTTCCTGCCTGTCTCCTCAGTAGCTGAGATTATAGGCATGTGGTACCTTACCTGGTTTAGATTCAGAGCTTTTACTGGGAAACAGTATTTGGCTAAGATTGTAAGCATTGAAGTTGTATGTAAATGGGCCGTGGGGGTACATGCTTGTAATCTCAGTTACTTGGGAGGCTGAGACATGGGGATGGCAAGCTCAAGCTTTTCTTGGGCAAAGAACTTAACCTTTCTGTGTCTTCGTTTTCTCTTACCTGTAAAGTCAGGGGGGGGGGGGTAGGGAGGGTTATAGGATCTATCTACCTGGTTCTTATTTTGACACAAGGAGTCCTCAAATTGCCCTGGCTGGCCTTGAGCTTGCCATCCCCATGTTTCAGCCTCCCAAGCAACTGAGTTTACAAGCATGTACCCCCACGGCCCATTTACATACAACTTTTCAAGGCTTACAATCTTAGCCAAATACTGTTTCCTAGTAAAAGCTCTGAATCTAAAATCTGCCCTTTCCCCAAGACTGAGGGATTAGGGGTAGGGGCTGTAGATCGCTTACCTAGCACGTGTAAGGCACTAGGTTCAATCCTCAGCACCACATAAAAATATAAATAAATCAATAAAATAAAGGTGTGTGACCATCTACAACTAAAAAAAGACTAACTGAGATTAAGTGAGAGTTGAAGCTACACTAGGGCCAAATACAAACTCACCTCACTACAAAGTGAAGAACTGAAAGAATTGAAAAGGGAACAACTTTCCCGGTATATGACCAGACGCTCCCTAATATGCAGTCCTCACACCACCTGATATCACCAAAAGTCCATGTTCCGACAGTAAAGAACAGTAAAGACCCTGTTTTAACCTCGGTGGCTCTGAGACAAGGCCAGATTCTGGCGTTTGACAGCACTGGATTTAAATTCTGGCCACAACTTACTAACTGAGCGACCTTGGGCAAAGAACTTAACCTTTCTGTGTCTTCGTTTTCCCTTACCTGTAAAGTGGGTGGGGGGTAGGGAGGGCTATAGGATCTATCTCACCGGGTTTCCGTGAAAATAAACGAGGTGGCTAGTGCAAAAGTATCCAGTAAAGATTAACAGCTACCATCTTTTCCCAACAAAACCAAAACGGACACTGAAGCAGAGAAGCGGGGCACCCAGGGTCTCAGGGTCCTTAGTACGCACACCCGCCGACGGCTCCATCGCTTCCCGAATCCCTGGCCACCCACGAACGACGACTTCTCTCTCCTCACCTTCCCGCTGCCTGCGGGGCCCATGACCAGCTGCGCATACCGAGGCATGCCGGCTCTCGGGTTTCCCGGGACCCTCCGCCACACTCCCTTCAGCCTTCGCGCGACGCCCACTGAGTTCCGGGAACACGAAGCGCCCACCAATAGCAATCAACAGTCCGTTTACGCCTTTTGTTCGGCCACACTTCTGACTACGGAGAGTTCCGCGGACCAAATACCAAGAGGAACGCGTCCTGAAGAAACGCGGCGAGGGCATTGCGCATGCGCAGAAGCAGTGGGCAGAAACCGGCGGTTGGGAAACTTGCCAACCCTGGTTGCCTGGGGGATAACGGATAACGGATATCACTTAGCATCCCTCCGCCTGATGCCGTGGTCCATGATTTTACTTACATGGTGACACCCAAGATTTGCAAATTTGCTGAGGGTCTGGAACGCTGACGTGGAGGACACCTTTTGTTTTAAGGAGCAATTAAGTTTCCTCCCTGTGACGCGTCCCTTCCATAAAAAGATGCTAACTTGCAGACGCTCGATCAGCTAAAGGACTCCCGCCCCTCCCCCAGTTGAACTCCGGAGTTGTGGATCTGCCCTCCACGCTCTCTCCCGACGCTACTCGGGCCGCGTCCGCACGGCGTCGGAGGGGCTAGAACTCGGCGTCGTCCTCTTTTTCACCTCAATATCTCCCGGCCTGACGCACGCGTGCCGACGGGGGAGGGGAGAGAGGGAAGCTTGCTCCCGCACTTTGCTCGCAGTCGCTGCACCGCGGAGATGCCGGGCCGGGGTCCCTGGTCCCACTGGACCGAGTGCAGCAATTCCGCAAAGCCGCCCGCTGTGCCCGGGACCGGGGGTGGCGGCAGCGGGTGAGGCTGCGGGCCCCGAGGGTTGGGGGTTCGGCTCCGAGCGTTAGCCCCTGCAGGGGACGGGTGGGGGCTGGCAGCTCTGCTCTTGTACTGGTCCTCTGCGCAGTGAAGTGAGGGGAGGGGAGAAGCTTTGTTAAAGTGGCCAGGATGGAAAATAATGGTGGCTGATTCGCTGTTTAGGGGAGGGGCTTTGTGCAGTGACTGAACGCTGATCACTGCGACAGTCGCCTGCGTGCGTGCATCTTTCTGCCCCGAGAGGGCGCTGCAAAACTTTCTGGGAAAATTGCGGGGAGCTGAGTAGGCAGTAAACGTCCGGAGGGCTTTCAAGTCAATAAGCCAGTTCCTTGACATTAAGCACCATTCTGTTAGATGGGAGCTTGTAATAACCAATGATGATGAAGATAGTTGAGATACTGAAGTCACTGCTGGAGGCTATCCTTATCCCATCCTTCCTTTGTTCCCTAAAAGCGAGAGCTGCTCGCGGTTTACAGTACAGTTCAGCCCATGGTCCAGGCTCCAGCTGCACCCTTAGCCACGGATTGCTCCTCCTCACCCGCGCGGCGCTGGGAATGGAATCCTAGGCCTCGTGCTTCCTGGGTAATCGCTCTGACTCTGAGCTATATCCACAGCTTTTTTTATTATTTCGAGACAGAGTCACGCTAATTTGTGCTGGTCTGGAATTTGCAGTCCTACCTCTGCCGCTGGCGTAGCTAGGATTACAGGTGTGCGCCACCGTGACTGGCATTATTATTATTATTTAAATATCTGGTGCTATTTAAAGACTTCTTAGAGGTGGGATGAGGTTGTGTGCTTTCCTCTTCTTCACAGTGCTTGGCTGAGTGCTGAATCCTAAGTATGTTAGATCAGTAAACTCATGGTCATTGAATAAATTGCAGGAAGTAGGAAGGGAGCAGGTTTTGTCTTAATTTGAGAAAAAGTCAAAAAGAGTTCTTACTAAATTAGAAACATTACAGACTAATTTATCAGTTCCAGCACACCTTACTCTTCAAAGGACAGTCTTTTCAGTAACCAAATTACCTTATTAAAGAGCAAGGAAATGGGATGAATAACAGAAAAATCCAAACTACTTAATTGAGCTCACTGTAGGAATTAGATTAAGAAACTATAAGAGACCAAATCTAGCTTAAAACAAGTCCTTTAAAGTACGGTAGAAATTTCTGATAATTCACTTTGGAAAAAGCTTGGAGCCATTAGGTTTTAAGCAGACTTGCAAGAGAAAATTTTGCAAGATAGTCTGAGGGAAACATGAAAAGCAAAAAGCATATATAATACTATCCTTTTCATTTGAAATACATTCTTTAGTGCTTATAAAGCTAATATTACATATTATTTATATCCTTTTTTAACAGATCAGCTGGACTTTATTATCAGAATTCCAAAGGTACTGGTGAGTAGTGCATACAGAGCAGATGACACAAATAACAGGGTTCAGAGAAACCAGTTTGCCTGTAACTACTTAGGCAATGGAATTTTTAAAATAAGACTTTGCTAGCATCTTTGGTAAACTGTCTTTAAGATTTTTCAAGGCAATCCTTACCTGGGGTTCCCTCTTACCCCTTCAAGAGTTCTGTTTCAGTCATCTCACTTGAAAAAATCCTACTCCTTTCATTCTTGAAAAAAAAAATTTAAAAGCTATCTGACATCAAATATTTTAAAAATTAACCATAAACTCTAAAAGGGCTGTGTTCAGAACTGATGGTTGCAGAGCACAGCCTGGGTTTTATACATGGATGGAAAGAAGAAGTTCTAAACTGAACAGCTTCAAAGTCCACAAAATATTTCTTGTCTGGGGATATTTTATTCATTTATTTAAATGTGGTGCTGAGAATTGAACCCAGGGCCTCACACATGCTAGGCAAGTGCTCTACTATTGAGCCACAACTCCAGCCCCAATACAATATCTTTTTATTTATTTATTTTTATGTGGTGCTGAGAATCCAACCCAGTGCCTCACACATGCCAGACAAGCACTCTACTGCTATGCTATAATCCCAGCCCCAGTTTTTAAATTTTTGATTTAAATTCAATGATGCGTAAACCTGGATTCTCTTTGCTTTTCCTTCGCATAGTCCCTGTATAGTCCTTACAACTATCTAGGGAAAAAAATTCACACCCATATATGTATATGTATATACATAATGTAAATATATAATATGGTTGTGTATATATTTTACTTTGTGGGTTTCCCTCCACCAACTGGAAATTGAATTCAGGGGCACTCCACCACTGAGCTCCTTCCTTCCTTCCTTCCTTCCTTCCTTCCTTCCTTCCTTCCTCCCTTCCTCCCTTCCTCCCTTCCTCCCTTCCTTCCTTCCGTTTTGAGACAAGGTCTAACTAAGTTGTCCAGGAAGGCCTTGAATTTGTGAGCCTCCTATTTCAACCTCCAGAGTAGCTGGGATTACAGGTATATGCCACCGTGCCTAGCCTCATCAAAATTCTTACTGAATTATAGTAAAATGTAAAAAATAAACAAAAGTAATAAGATTAAAACAACCCAGACGTGGAGGGAAATAATTTAAAAAATTTTAATTATTGGTATATTTGATAGATTGACAATATTTAAAAAGAAGCTGGGTACCCTCTTCAGTAATACACATACTAGAACCGGAATGATACAGAGAAGATTAGCATGACCCCTGTGCAAGAATGACATGCAAATTCACAAAGCATTCCATATTTTAAAAAAATTAAACCATAAAAAATAATTTAAAAGAAATTAAAAGCATCCAGGTACAGTGGCATGTGATGTTATGACTGAGGAGGTTGAGGCAAGAGGATTGCAAGTTTGAGGACAACTGAGAAACTTAGGGAGACCCTGTCTCAATAAAAAAAAAATTAAATGGGCTGGAGATGTAGCTCAGTAGTTGAGTGTCTCTGGATTCAATCCCTGATTAAAAAAAAAAAAAAAAAGCAAATTTCTAAACAAATACCAAAATAATAATGAAAGGTTTTTATAGTGTAGGATTTTTCTATTCAAATAAACAACAAATATATGCCTAGTAAAAACTCTGAAAAGGCAGGGTGTGGTGGTACAAGCCTGTGATCCCAGCAGCTCTAGAGGCTATGGCAGGAGAATTGCAAGTTAGAAGCCAGCCTCTGCAATTTAGCAAGACCCTAAGCAATTTAGTGAGTCTCTGTCTTAAAATAAAAAGGGCTAGAGAGGTTTCTTTATCATTCAGCCACATACCCAGCCATTTTTATTTTGGGACAGGGTCATACTAATTTCCCAAGCTAGCCTCAAATTTGTGATCCTCCTGATTCAGCCTCCCAAGTCACTGGGATTACAGGTGTGTGCCATCATGCCTTGCTACAGATGTTATTTTAATCTGATTTACCACAACTAAAATTTGGTAGTCTTCAAAGCAATGAGTAAAATCCATCTTTCTTTCTCTTTTTATGTTGTAATGCTGAGGATCTCAACCCTGCTCATGCCACTGAGTCACAACCCAGGCCCTAAAGCCCATTTTTTCAACAAGTTATTTACTACTAACACTTTACTATTTACCTTAGGAATAAATTACATTTCTGAAATTTTGACTTTGAGACTTACAGAAAATTTGTGAGAATAATACATGAAAGTTTAGGATCTTCATTCAGATTCCCCCAAAGTTAACTCTATCTAGTTTTTTGTTTGTTTGTTTGTTTTTATTTTTAGTTGTAGATGGACACAATACCTTTATTTTATTAATTTTTTTAATGTTTATTTTTTTGTAAGTTGTATACAATACTTTTATTTTTATATGGTGCTGAGGATCGAATCCAGGCCCTTTCACATGAGAGGCAAGCGCTCTACCGCTGAGCCATAACCCCAGCCCCAATTTATTAATTTTTTTTTTGTAGTGTTGAGGATCAAACCCAGTACCTCACATGTGCTAGGCAAACACTATACAACTGAGCCACAACCCCAGCCTTCGATCTTGTTTTTTTTTTTTTTTTTGGTACCAGGGATTAAACTTAGGGGCACATGACCACTGAGCCATATCCCCAGCCCCATTTTGTTTTTTATTTAGAGACAGGGTCTCACTGAGTTGCTTATCACCTCACTTTTGCTGAGGCTGACTTTGAACTCGAAATTGTCCTGCCTGAGCCTGCTGAGCCACTGGGATTACAGGTGTGCATCACCATGCCTAGTATCATATACAAGGTCTTGCTGAGTTACTTATGGCCTCACTAAGTTGCTGAGGCTGGCTTTGAACTCAAGATCTTCTGCTTCATCCTCCCAAGCTGCTGGGATTACAGGCATTACTATGCCCAGCAGAGATGTATTTCTTGACATTGACATTTGTGAAGAACACAGGCCATTTCTTTTGTAGACTATCCCTCAACTTGAGTTTGTTTGATCTTTCCTCCTGAGGAGATTTAGCTTTTCACATTTCTCACAGGAATACAGCAGAATGATGCCGAGTTCACCTTGGTTCATTACATTAGGAGACACTTGCTGTGG